AGCAGTAGCAGTAGCAGCAGCAGTATATTGGGAGTAGGAGTGGGAGTAGTAAGAATAGAAAATACCAAAATCCTGTTTCTTGTCGCGCTGTTACCCCTGGGCAGCTTGAGAGCAATTCGCAGAAGCGGGATGGCGCTGCCGCGAGAATCTTTCAGTGTGCCTGGTCAGAAGGTGATTGCATCAAAGCTTCAAAGCTGCCGATAGAGATGTGACGGATGTTCTTTTGCATGCTTCGAACATGTAGCCTTACGCACCTTGGTTTCGACATGCTGAGGCCTGCACATCATGTTTATCATCTTTCCTCTGATGTTTGAACCCCAGCTGCATCATAAGTCTATGCGACACATGGGATGTGTTGGTGGCACTGTCAAAGGCTTGGGTCTCGTGAGTCGTGGTGTTGCGCAGGGAATTCTGATGGCCATCATGCGAGCGATGTCGCATACGAAGCGATTCAACAAGTGTGCGCTGGCAGACAAAACTCAGGATCTCAACTAAGATCTGATTTGTCGACAGTTTTGACACCATGCGCCCTGAGATCCCCCGTGACGAGAAGCCCAAGGTGCCATCACTGCGGTCTTCGCTTTGACAAACTGCACCCTTCATTGGGCCGCTTGGCGGGGCTTCGCCCTTCAATCTGTTGCTTGTCTTGTGGATTGGCTTCTCGGCACTGCCCTTCTTTCTCATCTGTTAATACAACTATTCGTCTCAGTCCTTGTGACACGTGTCAAGTTGAAGATCTGGGAGTTTGGGCAGTTCCACGCATGTTTAATGCGCTTCTGCTGGCTCATCTTGGGATATCGGTGTGTACGTGGAACATATGACGTGGCACTTGACGTCGTCCGTTCAGGCTCCAACTCTATTTGTTTGCTCCGAGGTCTTCATCCAAATTGGGCGGCTGTTGAGGAAGGGGGGCTGGTTTTGTCACTTGTCAGCATGTCAGTGACTGTCCAGGCAGCTGCTCGCATGCAAATCGATGTGTTGCAGGTGTGCCGCTGGTTTTGGCCGAGTCATTTGCTGTCTTCTTGTTCTTCCAAGACAGCGGCATGAAGACTCGGACGGACAAGTTTGCAAAGAAAGTGAAGGACATCACTGTGCGTCATGCACAGCAGATCGAGCTAATGCCGCTAGGCTCCAGGCCAACTCGACCGAGTCGGTGAACCTGAGCTGACGTGATTGTCAATGTACATTATCGACCATCGACAGCTGTAGCATCTGCAGAAGCTGGCTCAGATCAAGTCGTCTTTCCTCGCAACGTCAACGAACTACGGGCGGCTCTTGATAACACTACGTAGTTCAAAACGTTGTCGGAACGTGAGCCTGAGCCATGCCTTCTCTCGCACAGCTGTGAACTCGCGTTGGAGACAACCTCCAGATCATCTGGTCATAAACCGATTGTGACTGCGAGCCGGGTTCAGCCTGCTGTGAAAGATGCGCGACCCACTCCCAGGGCCCACATGGCAACACAACCTGGAGCGATTTGTTTCATCTCTACACAGGACACTCTCCGGAAGACGGGTCCGGTACGTGAAGGGGCAAGCAGGTCTCACGGTCTCACAGCCTCAAGCTTAACAATTTGAAAAGCTTGGTTGCGTGCTTCCGTGCCCCGGTTTCACCGAAAGGCAAGCGTTCGAGGAGCTCTCGTCAGCTGCGGATTGTAGCTTTAGGAAATAGGAAATTATGGGCCTCAACGGCAGCATAGCATCGGCAACGCGATGCTCGAAGCCACAAGAGCTCAGTGCCCCAGAAGCTTCAAGCCCGTCCTTCGTCCAGAGTTCAGATTCACAAAGTCCAGCTCAAGGCTCGAAGCTGCTGGGGGCTGCCGACTGTCCCGTCTGCCTTCCCATCTCTGCAGAAAACAGTGGTCGTTTTACACACTGCTTTGAATCCTTCTGGCGGGCGCAGCCACTGTCGCCAGACATTGCCTAGCTTGGATCTCGTCCGGGGCATGCTCAGTTCGGCAAGCCGGGGCCCTGCAGCTTCCTTCCGAGATTTCGCGGGCTTGGAGTTCAGATTGTTCAGGTTGTGCAAGCAAACTGTACATCTTCGGCGGCAACGAGGTGAGTTCCGTGGTGGCGTCCTCAGCGGACTCCGCAATCCTCGTTGGGTTGGCGGAGCCTGAGCTCAGGTAGCCGAATGCTTCAGTCCTCAAGAAGGCTCCTGGGTGCCACTCGCCCTTTGCTACTGCAGCCATCTGCTGCTCTTTCGACGTCAAAGGCCAAGTGACACAAGATGCACCGGGCGTCATCGCACCAAGGTCGATGGGAAGACTTGCAACATCACGTCGATGCTTTGCTGCAGTCGCCTGCCGTCTCTAAGCTCTACTGAGTTTACTGACTCTACTGTAGAGTCTACGTGCGAGTTTCAGACGTAACTCGCGTGCTTCTTTGGCATACCCGCCGGATGAGCGCTCAACGGTTTTGGCCGCACCAAAGACGTGCGACAGGACAGGTTTCCTCACCACCACTTCAAGCTCATCTTTCTCAAGTCTTGAGATGAATCCCTATGCAGATGCGTCCAGCACAAAGCAATACGGCTATGTACGATTCCTCTAAGCTTGTTTTGGCAAGACTCCAGTGCATGTCGGCCTCGGCTGTTGGAGAGTGCAAAGGATGCCTAGCTTGGACACCTTCTTGCTGAGCATTTGCACTCTGGTCCCTTTGTAACATGATCCATGAAGGGCCGGGCCGACATTCGGAAATCTCAGCTTCGGTTGGAAATCCGAGAGCAGTACACTTTCAGAGCACTTCTCTGAAACTGTGCTGCTTGTTGCATGCCTCTGTACATAGCCAGGCCCGTCTATACCGAAGGTGGAGACTGGAAAGGCCCACCCCAGCTATTGGGCATTAAGAGAGCCACTGACTTAGACCCCCTTTTGCTCAACTCAGCTGTTTCTTCAGATCTGAGGGTCTTGAGCGGTGCAGCTCACATTCCTCACGTGGATCGCTTCTGTTCCACCTGCTTTCGCGATGGAGACAGATGCTTGGGCTGACTTGGCTGATACACCTTTAGTCTCACGTCGGCGGCCATGCCTGCTTCTTCGATCCCCGACGCAGGCGCTGGAACTCCTACCAGAAGCATGCCATGGCAGTATGGCGCGGCACTGTATGAGCCTGGAGCTCGGTCTGAAAGAGATCTTCGCTGATGCTCCGCATCTCGGCTTCGGATTCGAGGCCTTCACCTGAACTTGGCGCAGACTTGTTTGCAGCTCAAGGCCAGGTCCCCGTGGGAGGCTGCTAGGCTCAAGCCTTCCGCTCTTCGGGGTGCAGGCCCACGAGGCCACCGTGCATCACGCCACACGAGCGTTGAAAGTGGACCAGGAAAATGCCAAGGCCGACTTTGGCGGCTGCTCTCTCTCTCTCTCTGTCCCTCCCTCCTTCCTGTTGATTCTCTCGTTTTGCCAGGCTTTTTTCCGGCGTGGCTTGGCGCAGGAAGCCCTGGGCAAAACCCAGGCAGGGACCTGAGTCTGCTGAGCCGGGCAACCAGATCACTGGGGCGTGAGGTCAGATAAGAGCGAGTCCGGATGTTCGGGAAAATCTCATTCTGGCTCAAAGGGTAGCTGTCTGAGTTGCCAACTGGTTGTCTTTTACATCGTGCCTCGCGCGATGCAGTCCGTTCAGCAGCAATCCAGTCCACGATGGATGCTGCGAAACACATTCATTGAAGTCGTTGATGATGCTTCGGATTCGGACGGATTTTCAAGCTGCCTGATGCGTGCAAACTCCGACTCCGTCCTTTACGAGGGCTACTCCAGGCGCCATGCAGCTGAGCAATCAGAGCAGGAGACCAGTGGCAAGGCATCGGAAGAGTCTCCGAATTCCTCCCAAGATTCCATGGAATCCGAACTCGACAGTTGGAGTGATGCCGAAACGACCCCGGACACGATGGAAGGCGAACAGTCTTTCCCACTGCCCTGCTATCATCACATCGCGGATTCTCCCAGTGGGAGGAGCACGCCCTGTGCCGTGGGGCAGTATGTGGCACAGACGCCAAGTCCAAGATGCATGGACTGGCCCGCCACCAGCTTCGGCGACGCAGCTTTGCCGACGGAGGAAGTTCGATCCGATCCTATGCCAGACCTTCTACCTCCTACTCATGGAGGTTGCCCGGAAGCCCACTCCCCCGGCAGAAGGGATGTCTCGAAACATGCGCTGCAGAGGCTGATGGCAGAGGTAGCGAAGTTGGAGCAGGAGAATGAGCTTCTTCGGCGAATGGCACAGGAGCCAGGACAAGAAGTCAAAAGCCAAGGCGATGCGCATGCTGTGAATGTCTCCCAATCAGACTGCGGCACGGGTTGGACCGCAGTTTTGATGCCTGCCGGCTTGGTGCCTCCGAGTAGCAGTTCCCAGATGCCGTTCTCGGCTGAGACCTGGACAAGCTCTTATGGGCCACGCCCGGATCTGAGCGTTGCCAGCACAATGCCCCGGCGACGACGCTTGCGCAGCCGGAAGGGCAATGCAGTTTTGGAGGCAGAGATCAGCCTCCCAAGAGGCAGGCACAGCGATGCCACTCAGGCAAAGAGCACCGAGTGTGAAAAACCCATGGAAGTGTGGACGACAGTGATGCTTCGAAATCTGCCGCAGCTTGGTTCTTCTGGTTGGCCCTTAGGAATTTGACTTTTTGGGTTTCTATATGAAGTATAATATTTGGGCTAAAAGTTGAACTTTTAGGAGGGGTTCAGAAGTCAGCCAAGGAATAACTACAATCGCACCATGATTATTGCGCTGCTCGACAAAGAGGGCTTTGAAGGAAAGTACAACTTCCTGTACTTGCCGATCGACTTTCGGACGCGGGCTTGCATGGGCTATGCCTTCGTGAACTTGGTGGATCCAGCATATGTCCCGGACTTCTGGGCCAAATTCAGCGGCTACTCCAACTGGGTGGTGCGGAGCAAGAAGCTTTGTGGAGTGAGCTGGAGCGAGCCACATCAAGGTCTTGAGTCTCATGTGGAGCGTTACCGCAACAGCCCCATCATGCACGAGAGCGTGCCGGATGAGTACAGACCAATCGTTCTTCAGAGCGGAGTTAGGGTTGCCTTCCCAGAGCCGTCGAAGTCTTCGAGACCCCCGCGCAGTCGCCACACCGCCAGCCAAGTGGATGGCAAGGTGCACGGCTCCCGGCACCACCGGCACACGAGCGCGGATGGTTCAAGAGAGCTTTCCGGACGGGTTCGAGGTCCACGCCCAGGCAGATAAGATCCGGTCTTGCAAGAGTTTCGAATTTGACTTTCGCAGGCTCCTGGCTCGACACAGGGTGCCTGTCCCAACAACAGCTTGTGTTATCTCGCGTTCACGAATCGTACGCGAAGCCGGGTTTGGCCGGCTTGTACAGGTGTTCGAACCTTCGAAACACATGCTGCGAGCTAAAAAGCCCAGCTGTTCCAAAGCTCCTAAGTGAGGGACAACGCTGGCGCGTACTTGGCGCCCTCGCAACATGCAATCTTAAGTTTGCGAGAGAAAACAGATGGCAGATCTCCGTCTATGTTTTGTCGAGGCTCAGTGTTCTGTATCTGATTGAGGCTTCACTTTCTGATTCTGGCTAGAAGGGTAGCTGTCTGAGTTGCCAACTGGTTGCCTTTTACATCGTGCCTCGCGCGATGGAGTCCGTTCAGCAGCAGTCCAGTCCACGGTGGGTCTTGCGCAACACCTTCCTGGAAGTCGTTGATGATGCTTCGGATTCAGACGGATTTTCAAGCTTCCTGATGCGTGCAAAGTCCGACTCCGTTCTTTACGAGGGCTACTCCAGGCGCCATGCAGCTGAGCAATCAGAGCAGGAGACCAAGAGTGGCAAGGCATCGGAGGGGTCTCCGACTCGCTCCGGAGAGTCCACGGAATCCGAACTCGATAGTTGGAGTGATGCCGAAACGACCGCGGACACGATGGAAGGCGAGCAGTCTTTCCCACTGCCTTGCTATCATCACATCGCGGATTCTCCCAGTGGGAGGAGCACGCCCTGTGCCGTGGGGCAGTCTGTGGCACAGACGCCAAGTCCAAGATGCATGGACTGGCCCGCCACCAGCTTCGGCGACGCAGCTTTGCCGACGGAGGAAGTTCGATCCGATCCTATGCCCGACCTTCTACCTCCTACTCATGACCGTTCCCCGGAAGCCCACTCCCCCGGCAGAAGGGATGTCTCGAAACACGCGCTGCAGAGGCTCATGGCGGAGGTAGCGAAGTTGGAGCGGGAGAATGAGCTTCTTCGTCGAATCGCAGTCCCGTGTGGAGCGGCCCCGGAACCCCAGCATGCACGAAGAGTCCAATTGCTGAGCACACTCCCTCCGTCGGCGACCGGAAGAATGTAAGAGATGTGTTGCACGATGCCAGCACTCCGATACCTCGCGTGAAGCTGTCCGCGAAGCCGGATTTGGTCGGCTTGTATAGCAACCTGCAGGCACAGCCGCTCCTAAGTCTGAGGGAGGGCTGGTGCGTACTTGGCGCTCAGCCGCACATGCAGGACAAAAGGTAGTAGCCTCGCAAGGGCAGCCCAAACTCGCGAAGAAGCTGCCGTACTGTCGCCTTAAGCCGGCTTTCTTTCTCGAACGACTGTTCAGGCTGCGGCGAACGACCTACAGCGTGCTGCCAGGACGAGAAACCGAGGGAGAGAGCAAGCATTGGAGTATCGGCTGCACTGACGATGTACTGAGCGACTGACTAGCACTTGCCTGGAAGGATAGAGCCACGCAACGCGGATATCCGCCGGAAGTCGCTTTGCTAAACTCCATGGTGTTGTGTGCGGTTCTAATGATATGCACCAGAAGTTCGGCCTCAGCGCCCAGCATCTTACAAGGTATGAAGAGCCGGAAGCTCAGCAGGTTTCAGAATCAAACCTCGACTGATCGCTGAGATGTACAGCCATCTTGGGCTCTGCACGCTGCGCCTTGACCAGGCTGAAGAAGGCTCTTCAAGAGATGCAGAAGAAACAGGAAGAGGCAGAGCTTCTGACATGGGTGGTGGTACTCTGGCGGGATTTGGCATGCAGGAAGAGGGGCCAGTCGACCATGACATCAGCTCATTGCCTCGAACTCAGAGCACGAAGAAGAAAGTTATGAGTTCCAGCGAGGTGAGATTCGGTGCTGTTTTCGGGGTGGAGTTTCGGAACATGGTTTCGGATCAGGACATGGTCAGTTTCGTTCTCACGCCCAAGCCTGCAAGAATCGGACCGAAACTGCCCATCTCGCCCCCCGAAACTGACAGACCCGCGTCTCCGAGACGCTGCAGAATGCATGCGATCACGGTTGCGTGTGTGTCTTTCTCTGCGCATCCCTCGGTCTGCCAAGTCACGGCTGCACAAGGGGTCGGTAGAAGCACTCATCATCATGTACACAAGAAATCGTACGAAGTCTCTCAGACTCGGTCGTCAATGTAGACAAACTTAACGATACGGTTCTGGGCGACGGACATTACGCGGCGTGGTGTTCTTATTCATGTGCATCTTGGTAGCCGAACGAGACAATGCGCTGGGCCTTCTTCTGTTCATGCATGTTCATGCTATCAACTATAAAACTGTAATATGACAGAGAACAACGTCATCAGTACTTGTGCTAGAACTGCTACCAAAGCTGCTGTGATTGTTTGACATGTTCTGTTCTAGTTATTCTAGTTGTTTTCTTGTTTGTTGCTGTTGCTGTTGCTGTTGTTGTCGTTGCCAGGCCATTGTTCAAGTCACCAGCTTGAGCGATGCAGACATGAGCCTTAAACTTCTACGGGTTCACACAAATGTCCAACATTGATCATACCTACTTTGATCTTGGCAACCAATAGATAGACGTCGTCAGGGGCATAGTAGCTTGTACGTGTACGGGAACCGTGTGCGCACATACTCGTGGGACCTACAACTGTTTCGCGTTGGAAATCTAAGTAAGTTGGAGTGTAATTCTTGTTGCACATAGCAGCATAGTAGCAGGAGAACTGAAGATGTGATGCTCTGGTTGCTCGCCAGAGGCCTCGGGCTTGGCTGGAAGTCGCCATCGACGGTGCTGAAGCCAAGAGAGTTGTTGCAGCCTTGGAGAAGCCCATGGATACGAACCCTTCCTTTCGTCTTCCCTCGTCTCAGAGCATGGATGGCCGTTCTCAGGTGTTTGCCCTTTATGCCGACACTGTGCGCTCCTGAGAATGATGTGCCAGTCGTTTTGCATGTGGGAGTTGTGGAAAGAGGCAGAACAGGCTGCAGCCTCGTGTAGGTGCCAAAGACTGCGGAGAATTTCCGCCGGCTTTGTACGGGCGAGCATCCAGGTATCTTGGATGCTTTTTCTGCTAGCAGCCGATGCGCAGCAATTGTCACCTCCAGGAACCACAGCGCGTGGGAAGCCGTTCCACTACAAGGGCAGCATTTTGCATCATGGCTATGAGCGAAATGTCGCATGCGGTCAAAGAAGCGTACCTGTGACATCGCAGCGAAGTCTGAGGCATCGTATGATTCCTGGTTTGATGATCCAGGCTTGCTGAGCATTGCAGCTTACTATCTGCTTGTTAGCAACATGATTTTGACTGCAAGCAGGGCGGTGATTTCGAGAATGCCAATGGGCTGCGAACTCAAACAAATCAGACGCAGGACCACACCACGTTCCCACTTCCTATAGCTGCTCGACAGGACGGGCGGAGAGTCCGTTTGGTCGCGGCGATTCGCTGATGAAGGCTTCAGGGACCCCGTCTCGCGACGAGGCTCTGACCGAAACCATTGGAAACACAGGATACGCATGTATACAGAAGCATCTCTATCTCTCTGCGTACGTACTGTACAGAGACAGACAGCCAGCCAGGCAGGCAGGCAAGCAGCCAGGCAGGTAGGCAGAGACAGACAGACAGCGACAGAGACAGAGACAGAGACAGAGACAGAGACAGAGACAGAGACAGAGACAGACAGACATGCGTACGACTACATCTCTCTCTCTCTCTCTTGCTTGCTCGCTCTTGCTTTCGTTGCCTCCTCTCCCTCCAGGTCTCTGTCTGGATGCCGGCAGGTCTTCTCTGCATGGCGAATGACGGCCCCAACACAAACGGATCCAACTTCTTCGTGTCCTTCGCGGAGGCAGAACACCTTCACAGGCGATGGGACATCTTCGAGTGTGAGAGATTGAACCCGTGGAGCCCCAAAGCTCTCGGCATGGCCAACGTTTTGTGTGTGACTGGCCGTGGAAGCTGTTAGGCTCGAGCGACGAGACACTACCCAAAAAGTAAAAGGTGACATTCAACAGTATCACTGTGTCTAGCTACGAAGCGCAGGAGCTCTACGTCTGCTCTTGACGACTAGACATGGCAAGCTCAAGGCGAATAGTTGGAACCAGCGAAGGCTGACATGCCGAGTTCCTTCCCTTATCGCTGCTTAGACCTGGTCGACATCTAGGGATGACAGCCGCATGCTCAGAGACTCAGAGCTTGTCTGGAGTTAATGTGGCATTGCGGAGCATGAAAGGCGACAGCTTTGTTCGTGCAGTCAGGCGTGCGAGTGCTGCGGCGGGTGTTTCGCAGGTGTCTTGCTGGTAGGCCGAGCGTGCTGCATGGCTGCACGAGATCACCCGAAAGAGCTGCGCTTTTTTCAGGTGCAGGGATCAGACAAATCGGCGGGCTAGTGCAACCCTCGCAGCAAGAGGACTGATTCGCGGGAGCTGGTTCAACACTACGGCGAGGTGCTTCGCCGCGGCAGTATCAGGGTAGCTGTCAAGAGGATTCAAAATGATGTCATTGCCAGCTTGTGTGAATAATTCACGCTTGAAGAACAGGAGACAAAGGCGGAAACGGCCAGCGCAAAGCCGCCAGGGCCCTTCCGCCGTCTGGCCACACGCAATGGTGGACATGTTTGGACCGGCAGTGCGCAGCGGTCAATGAGGCTCGGCGATGCTCGCATGCCTGCAGTTCAGGCCATGGCGGCTGGATCTGTTGTGTTTCGTTTGCATGTCGTTGCTGCATGGGGGAAACACATGCCAATGTGGGCCATCGATGAACTGATACACTTTGTGCTGTAGGGGCTGCATGATGTCCGAAAGATTCGCATGTCTTCTCCTGGGCAGATCGTGGAGGAGGGGACCATCCAGGATTCCGCCTTTGTGCATGATCATGGCATTCACCGCACATTCTGCTGCACGTGTGTGTGTGTGTGTGCGCGTGTGTGTGTGTGTGTAAGTAAACCTTGACGCTAAACAGAAGGTTCCTGGATGCAAAGCAAGTAGAGGGGAACAGGAGCTGGTTTGCCTATCCTGTCCAACGAAGCTATGGAAAATCAATGGAAGCACTGGGTGACGCTCAGCTGTGTACCTGCAGAGATGGCCGCCCAAAATCATACCCTCAAAGTTGTTGTTTCGTAGTGGCCAATGCAATACCGCAGGACACTGAATGCTTTCTCACTTTCTGGCATCACTGGCAGAAGCCGCCAATAGCCTCTATCACCTTACATCCACCGTCTCCGCGTGTGCTTGTTTGTTTGTGTGTGTGTGTGTGTGTCGGGTTCGAATTGTGCGCTACAGAAAGCAGGGGGACTGCCTGATCTGTAACAGTGGCAGTCCAGACATCATATACTTGGCCTCCGCTGTGCACTGATGACTCGTCGCTTTGGATGCTGCTTCGATCTGTCGGTTAGAGTGAGTGCTTGAGTGTCTGTGATGCAAGTGGATGCGCACTCTTTGTATATACCTTCATGCTTTGCGAGGCATGAGATTAAGGCTGATTCCTGACATGTACTGATTCAGCCTGACTTGGAGTGATATACCTGACTCTCCAGAACGACTTGAGGCCTGCCGGCACATTGTGTCACGTGTGAATCAAGACGGCATTTGCTCAGGGTGCCGTGTCTCCCAGAGGTTGATCCGGTGCTGAGGTATCCGAACGATCTTACCAGCATTGGACGATATTTTCTGACTTTGCCGATCTGGCCATGCGATTGATGCTGAACGTTTACGATTCTACCAGTCTTGCAATGTCACAACTGAGACTTCTGAGAGTGATTTCCTCAGTTGAGTTTGCCGAAACCTGAGAATGTTTCCCTGAGTTCATCGTTTGATTAATCCAATGATTCGTCGACAGGTACTTGCAGTTACCTCAAGCTAGGACTGAAAGTTGACGTATCATGGTGCCTGTCATTCAAGTTGTGGCGTGCAGGGATGTGAAGTCACAGTTGTGGCAGGCGTTGGGACGGAAGTTCTTGACGAGGAAGACCACACTTCCCTTCATTTTTCCTTTTTTCGTTCATACAATACCTTCGCTTCGCATTCACGGCCGGGGGCAGGCCTGTTGCCTCACCTTGCGTCCATCTAAATCTTTATTCGGACAGTCAGAGACGGTGCGTGTGCGCACAAATGCCATGTCCAGTTCTCTTTACAACCATCCTCATTACCTCTTTGGTTCTCCTGCTGCAGTCAGTGGAAGCGATGATGCAGCTGTGGCAGGCGTTGGGACGGAAGTTTTTGACCAGGAAGACCACACTTCCCTTCGTTTCCCTTCTTCTTTCGTTTATATAATACCTTCCCGTTCGCGGCCAGAGGCAGGCCTGCTGTTTCACCTTGCATCCATCTTCATCTTTATTCGGACGGTCAAAGACTGGGTGCGTGTGCCGCAGTAGTGCCACGTTCAGTTCTCTTTTCACAATCATCTTCATTACCTCCTTTGATCTCCTGTTTTTTCCTGCCTGTCATGTGATCATTGAAGTGTGGACGAACGTGGCAGCGCCCCCCGATCGGTAGCTTGTCCAACTAAAGTTTTCTTCAAAATCTCCTTCGCACATGCACCAGTGACGTGCAGTTTCGAATGTTGGAATACGTAGCATGTCGTTTGCAAGTGATATGCAGGGTTGAATGTTGGAACATGTAGCATCTCGTTTGCACTGTTTCGGATGTAGGAACACGTAGCATGACGTTTGCAAGTGACGTGCAGTTTCGAATGTTGGAACGCATAGCATGTTGTTTGTCAGCGATGTGCAGTCTCGAATGTTGGAACGCGTTGCATGGCGGTTGCATGTGATGTGGCCGGTAGCACGTGCTGGCCGGCGGCAGAGTTCCGTAGCAGAGTCTCCTCATCGATGAGTTTGCCCGTTTGTGCAAACGTAGAGTGGCTGCATCTCCATCCTCTTCTTCCTACTCCGTAAGATGTCAGCATGTCAGTCGACTGCAAGTATGTGGCTGAGCCCGAGAGCGCTTGTGTGTGTCCACCCAAGTTCCAAATCTTTCGAATTGCGCACTAGCAAAAGCAGCCTGCCTGATCTGTTGCAGTGGCAGTCCAGTGAAAAGGCTGTTGCAGATCACTGATCTGAGCCGGGGACGCCTGGCCCACGTACAAGTCCCGGGGCTATCACGCATAAACTGGGTGTTTTACGCATCTGCACGG